TAACCACATTCCAAAGTCTTGTGTTTTTTGCCATTTTTACCCCCTCTTAAAGGTTGTGACTATTCCCAGGCTTTTGAGGGGAGTAATAAATGTCCTTTGTTTTTTAGAATTTCACTTGAAATCCCAGTTAATGCTATTGCTTTTTCTGCAATGCAACTTGATCATCTTATAAGGAAGAATGAAGAATTTTTCTCATGTATTAAATGACATTTCTATATTTCCTTCCCTTTAACTCTTGCCTATTATAATTCTAGAAAATCTGTTCCTAAAATTTCTACATGGGAAAAGACTTACTTTTTTCTCTTTAATCAGTTGGTGTAAATGAGTAAAAAGCTCATAAGGAATGTTAGTCACAGTACATAATTTTTAGATAACTACAATGTAATTTTAATCCATAGAATCAGATTTTATATTTTTTATGCACTATTTCCTTTGATTTTWTTTTTGTAGCTTTTTCTTTTTGGTCACTTATAATTAATTGGCACCTTCTAAACTACCTAAATTGTCCTTATAAATCTCATTGTGCATTCAATTTTTTCATATAGGTTAAAAATTTTTAATTGTGAAATATGTATGCAAGCAACATAAAGAATAATAAAAATAACAGTGTACTTTCACTCAATGTAAAAAATAAGATAGTACCTAATCAATGTTTGAAACTCCTTATATCATACTGATTTTTATCATGTTACTTTGTTATACTTCCTACTGACTTAGTTATTTTTGAAATTAGATTTTTTTTTAGTAGTTTTGTGTCATTACAAAATATTGTGGCACTAGAGAATACATTGCACATGATAATTCATTATTGCCCAGAGTTAATCTGGACTTGATATATCTTGCTAATGCATTTTTAAAATCATGGTTTGCCAGTTAATGTTTATGGATTAGTAGTATTTTCTATAAATCTCAGTACATCAGTGTTTAAAATTAGTTGTCTTGAGACATTATCTCTCTCTCACAGACTAATCTCAGTATTTACCCAAGTACTATCAGCCTATTAAAATTCTGATATCCCAGAAGGTAAGCTGTAGGTTAATTTTATTCCATGATTTTCAAACAACTAAAAAAATGGTATTGTCATGGTGGTGTGGATTATAGTGGTTTGGGAGGCTGAGACAGGAGGCTGGTGAGTTCAAGACCAACCCCAGTAACAGTGAGACCCTGTCTCTAAATAAAATAYAAAATAGGGCTGGGGATATGGCTCAGTGGTCAAGTGCCCCTGAGTTCAGTTTCTGGTTTTGAGCCCCCTTTYCCCGCCCCCAATGCTGTGTAACTTTAACTTCAGAAAACTGCTTTAAGCTCAGTTCTTGAACTGTTCATAAACGGTTATATTTTCCTTTGGCAGAATGTGAGCTAAAGCACACTGTAAAAGATTTTGAGGACTGTTAAGAAGTTCCTGTGGTATTGGAGATGTTTCTCATTAGCATCTAATTGTTACTTCATAGTATGTGAATGACTCCATTTGTGGGGGAAAAAGATGAAAAATGTACTGTATATTTTTGTTAGAAAAACTTAAAATGTGACTATCTAGACTTCTTCAGTTTCTTTCTTTCTTTTCTTTTTTTGTGGTGCTGGGGATTGAACCCAGGGCCTTGTGTATGTGAGRCAAGCACTCTACCAACTGAGCTRTATCCCCAGCCCTAGAGTTCTAAGCTTCTTCAGGATGAAAATTATATATCTGTAATTTGATTGCAAAGCATATTTGGTATTTGAAGTTGTCTTCTTGTTGGCATAAAACTCTGACCTCATAAAAACATTTTTTTTGAAGTAACTAGCTTGAAGGAAATACGGAATAATAACCAAAGTTGAGATTTCTGGAATTTGTCATTAGTCAGTATATAATGGTTTAGTTGCTGCATATCAGCAATGAAGTTTAGAATTCATTTAGATATTTTACTTTTTGCTAATGGTTACTTTCATAATGAACAGTGACTAATGGATGATATTTCCAGGTGACAGAATTTTGTGTGTATTTTACCTAAAGGTATTTTAAGCAGTAATGAAATAATCTTTTAATTACTAATATATTTTTTAGAAATATTTTTTAAGTTGTTGGCAAATTTTATCTATCTATCTATCTATCTATCTGTGGTGCTGAGAATAGAACACAGTGCCTCACAAATGCCAGGCAAGTGTGCTACCACTGAGCCACAGCCTCAGCTCTCTAATAATTAAAAAAAAAATTTTTTTTTTTAGTTATAGGTGGACACAATATCTTTATTTTTATGTGGTGCTGAGGAAAGAACCCAGTGCCTCACRCATGTTAGGCAAGCACTCTACCTCTGAGCCACAACCCCAGCCCTCTAATAATTTTTAATAAAATAAAAATAATACTGTTATTTTGTTCTGTTTCTAATAAAGGGCTTTTAAAAAAAAAAAGTTTAGTAATCCCATTTATTTCTGTTGAAACCATTCCTTCCAGCTGACAAGGTGTATCTAGCAGTCAGTATAACATTTTATAGGTGAGAATGTGATGTTGAGAACCTAAAGGATTTCACARTATATATAGGTTATAGTTGGAGACCTTTTTTTTCCTCTTCTTCTTTTTTTGGTAGTGGAGATTGAAGGCAAGGGTGCTTGATCACTGAGCTACACCTCTAGCCCTTTTTATTTCACTATGACAGGGTCTCTCTGAATTGCTTAGGATGGCCTTGAACTTGGGATCCTCTTGGCTCAGCCAGATAGATGCAATCATAGGCTTGCGCCTGGCTCTGAATTGATATCATCTTTCCCTATGGTGTGCCAGAATTTAAAAGGAGGACTATTTTTTATTTGGTCTCACAAACTTGTCAAGGCTGTCCTTGAATTTGTAATTCTCCTGCTTCAAACTCCCAAGCAGCTGGGATTACAGGTGTGTGTCATCTTGCCCCAAACTGACTATTTTTGAGGGTTTTTTTTTTAAGAGAAAACTCTGATTTTGGAGTAAAAAGGATTTAATCTCGATGACTGATGATTCACTTTATTTTTATAAATAAAGTTGTCCAGATGAGTACTTTTCTTTCTTTTTTTAAATTAGTTACACATGACAGTACAATGATCTTGACAATTCATACATTTGAATCAAATGGGGTATAATTTCTCATTTTTCTGATTGTACAGGTTGCAGAATCACATTGGTCTTATAGTCACCTATATACATACAGCCATAATAATGTCTATTTTATACTGCTGCCCTTCCTATCCCCCCTTCCACTCCCCTCCCTTCCTATCACATCTCTCTACCCAATTTAATGTGACACACTTTTTTTTTTCTCCTCACAACATCAAACATGTATTCTGTATAATGATGAGGGTCTCCTTCCATGCAATTCCCCTTCTCCCTCCTTTTTCCTCCCACCTCTCTTCCCTATTTAGTGGTAATCTTCTTCTCATGCTCTTCCTCCCTATCCCATTTTGAGTCACCCCCCTTATATCAGAGAAGACGTTCGGCATTTATTTTTTAGGGACTTTTAATGTTCATTCATACATCCATCGATCCATATACCTTCAAAACTGGGTGCTAGTTGGCTACAGTGGTACTTGATAGCATCAGAGCAGGAAAGGTAGTTCTTCAGGGATGGAGTCTCAAATATAAGTAATGATTTCAGACATAGGCAATTCCTAATTTCAGAAAAATTCACTCATTTCATTCCTTCCCTGACTTTATCACTCAGTGAAGTATGTTCTGTTGCTATTATTTGGACTACAAAGTTGGGGCTTTTAAGAACTTTTTAGTTAAAAAGTAGGAGAAATAAGTAAAAAGCAGAAGTATGGAGGGGTAAATACAGATTTAAATATATATTATGACCCACTTGCCTAAAAATGTTTTTCTTCAAACTACCCGAATAGGTTTTTACAAACTTTTGCAGCACCATTTGGATTTTTACTAGTAAAAGCATCATTTGGGCTAATTAGCATACTAGTTGGAAATTGCAAATATTAATGTGAACTATTGCAATTTCAATTTCTTGTCTATAACTTATCAAAAGTGAACTACACTGAGGCAGTAGGAGTTTTGGATAGTAATTTAGGAGTGTGGAATAAGTTAGAGAAAAGGATTATTAAGCCTGGTGATTGGGATGCCATAGTATAAAGTGTAGGGAATTATAAGCAAGGAAAACAACATATTTAGAACATTTGTTAGAGGATCTAGAATTGTGTAAGCTTCTGTATTTCTTTTGCAGGGTTCTTAGTGCCTATGACCAATAATAGCTTTAGGATAAATATGTTTCTTTTGGCTAGCTTGGGAACTTGGCCAACATAAGCAGCATTGTTTCTGATAGAATACTCATTGAATTTCAGTGTTTACTTAAAAAAATAACTTTTTTGACTCAATTCATTTGTAAGTTAGGGCTTAGCCTGTATTTGTCTCTGCCTTTTTGCTATTATCATGTGTTCTCAGTCATGAAATAACAGTGGAAGCAATAAATACGAAAGAGGAAAGTAGTGTAAGAGAATTATAATAAAATAAAAAGAAACCACTTAACGAGCAAGAGGGCTTGTGAACTTGGGGAATGAGTTGAGAGGTGTCTTCGAACTTAATTTGCAAATAACATTGGTAGCTTGATATGTTACCAATGTTTCCTTTGAAGTAACTTTCATTATCTCTGCCTTGATCGTAAGTCACTATGGAAGGTGAATTTGCATACATATTAATTTGTGAATTGATGGAAGATTACAAAATGTAGGACACCCCCCAATTATATAGAATAATGGAACCTTCATGTTTATTTGATATCTAGAAATTCAAATTTGTATTGGTGGTAGGCACATTGTAAAACCATTTTTMTTTTCCCTGGCAGCTGAATACTTTGTGTTTTTATATGCAGTTCATTTTGATTAATGAAGATTAAGGTAAATTATTTAAGGAAGCCTAAATGATAGTAACCCAATTTTACAAATTTGAAGTGATTTTAGCTATGTGTTTTGGGGATTGTAGTTATATTAGATATCCCTCAGTTAGGGGGTAATTGTCTTGCATCATTATCTCTTATCATAATCTGTTTTTCTTCACACAGTGTTATAGTTTTGCCGCTGGACTCTTCCCTCCCTTCCCCCACCCCATCAGGATGATATGAGACTTGAAAGAAGACGATGCATACAGGTGACTCAAGTTTTGAAATACAGTAAAACTATGGTTATCTAAGAAAATGTGGGAATTGATGGTATATTTTGAATGGGGGAGCTTTCTGATAGGCGGTATTTAGTGTGTGGGGGAATTATTTAGTAAATGCAGAGGTAGTTGGGATATGTATTAAACCTGGATTTGGGACTCAGTTTGATAATTTTTTTTTTTTTTTTTAAGTAGTGGTGTTAATACAAATAGCTTAGTAATTGCCCTTATTTAAGCTTTTAAAAAGTTGGCTAATACTTTGGCGGGAATTGGACTATTTCAGTTAGTAAAATAAATATTCACTTTCATGGTTGAGTGTATGTCTCCTTTCATCCTATTAGAACATAGCAAATCTCTTATGGGAGTTGATGCTTGTAGTGTATTTATTATTAAGACTGATGATGAAATTAAGAATTTAGCACTCGTGTATGATTCTCTTAAAAATGTGGTCTTTTTTTTTTCTTTCCTCATTCCCTCCTTCTCTACATTTGTTTCTGTCCTTTCCCCTCCTTCTTGCCTGCCCTTTCCTCCTCTTTTATCCTTTATATTTATATAGGAGAAGCAGTGTAAGGGCATTTGGAGGGATGTTTTTGATTGTTTTATACTTATTGAAGTGATCTTATTGTATATGGAAAAATGGATGCTATTCTAAATGTGGATGTGTTTAAGGAACACTCTTGAAAATATAGTGTAGTTAATGGATAAAATGTTATTAACTTTTAAAGTTGTATGTTCTTAAATCAAGTAGATTGTGAGGCCTTTTGTTAAACTAGGAGACTTATGTTTGAGATAATCTTATTTGATTGTAAACTAAAGTCTGAAACTGGAGAAGAAGTAATTATAAACCTTGAATAGATAAGTAATTGAATTAGTGATGTAGCTATTTTTTTGTGATGGATGTTTTCCTGGTACGCATTTTCTGAATGAAAATAATTATCACATTTTGATTTTAGAGTGATATATTTAAAAATCATATTTCATGTAGACTGTTTTGTATGAAGAAATTTGTTAAATATAGTATTTGTACTTTATAGATCAAATAATCTGTTACATTCTTGAAGGACTTACTATTTGTAAAACTGTTGCTAATTTTGGTGTAAGTCAAAGTGATTGATATCTCTGTAATACAGTTCTCCCACAAGTGCATGTAGAGAGGTGTGCACGTGTGTGGTTGCCTATACATAGGGCAGGTATGCTAGGAACACAGTCTTCTGGCCCGATGGCTGAATGTTAAAATCAACATGATGCTGATGCTGAATCTCACCATCATAGAAAATAAATAGAATACTTATAGAAACAGTTTTAGAATTTCATGAACTTTTAAAATATATTTTTAGTTATAGTTGGACACAATACCTTTATTTTATTTATTTTTATGTGGTGCTGAAGATCRAACCCAGGCCCTCACATGTGCTGGGTGAGCGCTGTACCACTGAGCCACAAACCTAGCCCCTTATGAACATTTTTTGTCGTCACATTTTATAAGTTTGAACTTTTGGTGCAGGAATGTCTAAGCCATGTGAGTTCTCAGATTGCTCCTTAGGCACTAAGTACTACCAAGTAGTACTCACTTTTCAGTGAAGGTCAGTAGAGGAACAAAGTATGTTTGGGGTGTCTCAGATTTATCTATGATGATTATGACTTTGGAGATTTCCTTCATGAGAATYTGAAGTAGCAAACTTGCTGTTTATTCTCACAAGGTATGAGGGATTCCCAAGTAGTTTTTACTTGTGAAAGCCTTACAGCCTCAATGGAATTAAAACAGTAAAGAAGAGTAAATATGGTTTGTAAAAGCTATCTACTTAACTTTATAAAAGGTAGAACCTAGAAGAATTCTGTAGATTAAATTTGTGACATGATCCAGTTTCTTATTTAGCTTTATAAAAATTATCAACATTTATTTATTATAACTGAGGTGATGAATCTGTTGATTGACTTGATTTTAGTAATCGTTTCACACCATATACATTATCAATATCATATTGTATGCTTTATATATGTAACATTTTTATTTCCCAGCTATACCTTAATAATACTGGGGGGGGGGGGGAAGAAATAGAGTTTTACTGAACCCATGCCAAAGCCAAACTTTAATGTATCTCTAATTCACATGAATATAGATCTTCCTGCTGTTGTTAAACTTGAGATTTTTTTCGCATATTTTTAAATGTAATTAAGAACACAAATGAAATGAATTTGGATTCATTTTTTATTTTTTTGAAGAAAAATCACTGTGAGCAAATATTTATTTGGCTAATGTTTGCTTTGTACCATGTACTGTGATTGGTGGTCTGCAAGGATCCTTGTGCTTTTAAGGATCAAGCCACACTTTTCAGTTGGAGGACAGGGTAGATATGTAGACAGATAAACTGCATTTATGGTAAATTTTAAAGACTTAACCTCTTGAATTCAGTGTATCTAGAGCAACCAGAAAACTCTTCTGCGTAGTAGCATCAATTGTAATGGTTTCAGCTGACCCACTGATGTTCAGGCTGTAAAAGTGTTGTATGTCTTCTCCTCTCTGGAGCTCTAGACTCAAGTAACTGTCCTGGATGACTTTCCCACATAGTCCCTTCCTTGCCCATTTAATCCTCTTAGTGATGAGTGGTATCATCTTATCTAAGGACACTGTCATTCTGTGAGCCTGGAAGTAACCAAGTTCAGTGTTTTTAGGATTTGGAATTATTCCCGAGCTTAGGTTTGGAAAAAGCACTGCCTCGGAGATTACCAAGCATATTTACATAAAGGCTTCTGTGGGAAGATGCCTGCTTAAGCCAGCACTTTTTTCAGATTATTTGAGTAAGAGATCTCCCTTTCTGTACTTTTTTACTTGTACCCACTAACACCTCATGGAACATTATTTGGGAAAATCTGTTGCAATGCAGTAGTTGATTTCATTCTTTGTTTTGTTGAAATAGCTTTCTTTAACAACTAAAATTGTTTTTAATTATAGTTATATGTTAGCCACTTTAAAACTTGGAATGGTTTCAGAGTATATAGAAATGCCATGTTTTATAAGTAACTATAGTAATTTTTTAAAATGTACTGATTTGGGGCTAGGGGTGTTGCTTAGTGATAAGAGCTTTTGCCAAGCACATTTGAGGCCCTAAGTCCAATCCTTAGTACTGCAAAACAAAAACAAAAACTAACAAAAAACCACTGTCTTTGTCACCATTGTTATATGTGAATTTTAAGTGCTTAATACCATTTGGGACAGTTTTTAATATTGTATTCTCTAATTCATTTTAAAATGAATTTTGTAGGATAAAATCTTCATTTAGAACAATTAGATTCTAATGAGCATAGAAATTGTAATATTTATTACAGAATAATTAGAAATCAGATCTATAAGTTTAAAAGATGCAATTTCTTTAATCGCATCACACACAGGGCATATTGGAAGAATCAAAGGGCGTGTACATTTTAATATTTTGATACCTGTTGTCAGTTTGCCTCCTTTTGGAATTTTTTTCCATATGCTCCTATACACCTCATCTTTTCCTGCATGTCTCTCCTTTTCTCTGGCTTATGTCAGTTTTTCTCTTATTGATTCAGTGATTTTTGTTTGTTTGTTTGATCAGTAAATGATAAATCTACTAGATTTATTTTTAGCTCTCAGATTTCTCCTTGTTTTCTACTTAATACAAAATCAGTGAAATTTTTCTTTTTGAATTTTAAACATACAGGTAAGTACAAGTAAATATACCCAGAGTTTTAGTCTTCACTGCACATGGCATATTTTTCCAGCTCTCCCTGCTCTTCATGCCAGTTTTGATTAGTTGAGATTATTGTGAATAACCATTCAGGTTGGTGAACTGGAGGTAGATTACATTTGATGTCCTTATTGACTTGTGCATAAATGTTTGGCAGTATGTCAAATTTTGTAATAATTGCTTCCTAGGAGTTTAGCTTTGGGTCATAGGGCTTGAACATTTTTAAGACTCTTGATACAGAAAGGTGTTTGATTAATGTTTGCCAGTTTTTACTCGGTGGTATTACAAGATGTGTTTGGTATTAACTGTGTCAGCATTGACTGTTATAATGAAAAATAAAACTTAATTCTATAGACAAAAGATCTTCTGTTTCGTAAAATAGAAGTGATAGTGCATTCTCAGTGGAGGAGAGAGTTCAAATGCTTCATATATGTATAAAATAAAAAGCAGCAAGTACTTCCTTTTTCCAATAGTGTGGAAGTTATTCTTCTCTTAGAATTATTTCTTTCTAGCTAGTGGTTTTTACTTAATGCTTTTTCTGGCATTGCATATATTTACTTGGAAGTTTCAGGCCAGTCTGATGGTTCCTCAATGCCAGGGGGCGCTATGGCTTACCTTCTTCATATGCCCTTGGTCTAGCAGGATCCTTGGGATTTAGGAAGAACTTTAATACTTGCAAAAAGAATATTTTTTGCCACCCGAACACCCCAAAATAAATACCTTAATCTGAATGCTTATTTTAATAATTTTATTCAAATGGGCTTAAGAGTTCCTCATTAACTTCTGTTCCTTCTTATCTTTCATTTTTTTTTTTAAAGAGAGAGTGAGAGAGAGAGAGAGAGAGAGAGAGAGAGAGAGAGAGAGAATTTTAATATTTATTTTTTAGTATTTGGCGGACACAACATCTTTGTTTGTATGTGGTGCTGAGGATCGAACCCGGGCTACACACATGCCAGACGAGCGCGCTACCGCTTGAGCCACATCCCCAGCCCATCATGTTTTTATTAAAAGCTTCTATATAGAAATAATTGATAATAATCATCATGTAATATAAATGAATGTTTGATTAAAATTTTTTTTTTTAGATATAGATGGACACAATACCTTTATTTTTATTTTTTATGTTGTGCTAAGGGTTGAACCCAGTTCCTCACATGTGCTAGGCAAGCACTCTACCACTAAGCCACAGCCCCTAGAGTGTTTGATATTTTTGTAAAAGATAATGGGAAACTTTTGAGGTTACCCCCCTCCCCCCTCCAGCCCCTTTGGTGCTGAGGA